TTCTTGTAGAGGGAGACTGTGGCAAGAGCTCTGGCAAGTGGGGGATGGGATTAAACGGGTTCAAACTACCCCTCCCCTTTTACAAATCAGAGTGCCCCCGGCTGATGGCAGACCAGGTACGCGAGACCACAGACCTCGAAAGTATTGGGGGGACTAGGAGACTGCTAGCGTGTTCGCTAAGGAGGACTTAAGTCCGGCACCCCAGTATCTACTCTGTGGACTGGTTTCAGGAGCACATGCCCCACATTCCAGGCAGATGGATTTTGTACTGCACACTCACCTCTGCCTAGCCTGGAATGGCCAGGGAGACCCTAGTCCTTTCCATCCATAGCACAAAGCACCGGCTTGATGAACGCCCAGCTCCAGGCTACCAGAATGATGCCGACTGGCTGTATTGCCATCCCAGATAATGACACTTTCTCCTGGCTTCCACCTGCCAGCCCAGAGGCTCTCTGGGACTCAGGGTGGGAGACTTCAAGTCTCCCTTGTAGCCCCTGAGAGCCCAACTCCCGCTCTGCTGTGGAGAAAGGGAAGGGGGGCAGCGGGAAGCTTGGTGCCGCCCTCACTCTGCAGCGCTGCTGCCTCTAGTGCGCAAAGCAGGATGTGAGCTTGGGTCCCCCACCCCCTGCTCTGTGAGTCTTTGGGAAGCTCTTCAAATCACCCTGTCTCCCCACCCTTTGCCCCTTCTTCCTTTCTCTCTGAACCGAAGAAAAGGGGAAGGTCCTCTGAGTCTGTGGTCCTGTTAACTGGCACATCTTGAACTGTGAGCCCCCCAGCCACAGGCCCTTTTTTCTGTGGCAGAGATGTGGAATGGGAAGAGTATCACTGGCAAGGAAAGGCTCTGAGAAGCCCTCCTGTCCACACCTAACCACACCATGAATGGGAAATTCCATCAGTTCCTGTCCTTTTTCTCAGGGGTCAGTGGAAGATCTTGTTTCCCCTCCCTCCCCACACTTCCTAAAACCAGACCTTTTGGCTAGCATCTTTGCCCACCTCCCTTGTCTCCAGGTGGAGGGTCTGGAGGCAAAAGCTGATGTGTGTGGGCCAGTGTTGGAAGAAGGGAAGTGAAGTGGGAGCCCAGTGTTAATCTTGAGGCTAGGGGAGCAGGCTCACTCTGGGGAGTGGTGGTCTTGGGTATGTACCTATGTCTCTATGTCTAGACTAACTAGCAGCTTCGCTGAAAATATGTTGAGAATAATTTATTGGCAAGGGAGCTGTCTGAACCATGCCCCCTTCACTTCCCATCCTACCCAAGTGCCGAGGGCAACCTGTGTTCCCATTTTCAGAGGGACTAGCCTCAGCCTTCCCTCTTTGGCATCTGTGAGGCTTCCATTGGTTTTAGGAGATTCCTCATGTGGGTCATGAATATACGACCCCCCAAGGGACATGAGGACAGTTCTCCCCTCCCCAATTAACTGAAGCTATTTAGCTTTATCTTACTTTTTTTTTTTTTTTGGCCCCTTCCTCTTGCTGCCTCATTGAGAGATCAGATTTCCTAGACATAGGTAGGAAGTGTGTGTGTGTGTGTGTGTGTGTGTGTGTGTGTGTGTAGAGATATACGGAGGTAGGGAGTG